CCTCGCAATCACTGGGAGAGCATACAAACTCCACACAAATAGCACCCCAGAACTGAACCCAGGGCCCCAGCACTGCAAGACAGCAGTGCTAACCACTGTGGTGCCCCTATTACATTTTGGCCCCTATTAGATTTGGCTGACCTATCCAAAAAAGGAATTACAATTGTACATATACCACTGGGCATTTTATTAAATAATCAGTTTATACCTTGCTTAAGGGTATAATTTGACACCTCCACCTTTATGCCCTGTGATAAGCCTCAACTTAAATAAGGTGGGTCACTAGGCCTGGTTAAAATAGAACTCACAACAACATGGAATATGTTAGAGTGAAAGGAGTCTTTATTGTAGCAGACTCTTCCAGGATACAGAGACTTACTGTTTCAAAGCCCAACCAGAACCACCTCTCTGAACCCCTCTTTAAACCAAAACAATCTACCCTCATGTGAGAATATCTTAGCTTTGACCACTTAACTAATAATTACCAATTTAACCTGAGATGTACGTACAGTATGTACAACTATTAGAGGCCTTTACTGGTTTCTAGTGGTATACAGTATGAGCTAAAATACCAATTTTTTTCCTGTTCTGCCACACACCTGTTTTTATTAATTTATCTTAATTAACTTAATTAATTTACTCCTTCACCACACACAGTTTTTAAAACTTTAGCATTATTGGATACTTAATCAATTTGGGTAAATGAAAACAAGTAGTAAGGCTGAACTGAATTCCTGAAATCTGTTAATATACAGTAAGATTCTTTAAAATACTTTTGTTTCTTCTGTCTATTGCATTTTTTTAACTGATGTTCTGAATATTTAACTTGTTTTGAGACTTGCAGACAAGTCTATTTACTCTCCAGGTAAGTGATTTAGCATCATGAAGTAAATCTTTCTTTTTTTATGAGTACACTAACTGAATGAATTATACTCTCAGAAACACAGTGAACTACAACTTAGCATATCTACAACAGAGCAAAGCAAATAAGCTAAAGGGCAGCTCCTTCTAAACTTGAAAATGTTGTATCTTTGATAACTGCTTTTAACACTCATGGAAATCTTGGATTGCTCCACGTCAGTTTCAACCCAGGCAAACAGTTTATTGCTTACTGAATGTGTTTTGACTTTTTTCACACCTTTCAGTCTTTTCATTGGTGAGTGCATTAGGCATTGCCAAGAGAATTCCTGGTAGGATGTACTGTATATACAGCAGGAGACCCATCTCAGCCATATAAGTCAATCTCATATAATGTGACCCATTCAATAGGCATCTTTCAGCTAGTGGTATATGTCACTTTCTGTAAAATATTGGCTGTTTTCACACAGCTGGGGTCAGTGTCACAATGGTATTGAGTGCAACCGTTTTAATTATTAATACAGTCAGGAAGATTCTTTTTCATTATAGAAAAAGGGGGCTTATAGAATGTGTAGGTTTCCTGTCTTAATTGGACAAAATAGGGATGAAAATGCTATTTATTCTCAACTGAGCTAAATATGATTGGGAGGATAACAGAATAAATTAACTTTGTTCAGGCCAAATGTAGGAACAAGACACCTACAGTATGTGGATGTAAAGACAGATAAAAATGAGATGAGGCTATTTGGCCTCTATGTGGTGAATGGAGGACACGATCAGACTAAGAGCCATTATAACATCAGATTATAAATGCACATATGGTGTCCTGTCACTGTTATTGGTTTTGGGAAACCAGTAGTCTCCTTTCAGCTAAGCCTGCTCAGTGCCAAAAACCAGTCCATCACAGAGGTACCAGATCAAATATCTTCTAATCTTCTGTAAACCATAAGAAACTGCAGAGCAGCAGAAGTCCTGACAATCACCTTTCTCTTCCGTCAAAAAAATATTTCCAATACATCCAGGGACATCCTGACACACTGAACTGGTTTCATCCCCTCAATAAATGGTCAGACTTCCCCTTCAATAGAAATATATAATATGTCTAATAGTATAGTATTAGAAAGTATAATAGGTGGAAAAAATACATGGCTCTTGTCTCCTCAAAGACCTACTGGCAGGCCAACCATTTTGGCGCCGAGTTTCCAGCTTAAACACAGCCCTCAAGCCTATGCCCACTTGCCTACTAATATAACCCAAGTTAATCCTGTGCCATGTGGAACCACCAACTGCACCAATCAAATTAGCTCTTTTCCTCCCAGTGGCATTCCAGTCACACAGGACACTATCCAGGCAATCAAGCCAGATGTGTTCAGTCTTCACTCACTGCGGAGGCCCTGGACAAAGCCTTGGATTTTTCCTCTTTAACTTTTTTTTCCTCTCTGAGTGCTACTTTATACACTTTCTTAGTCGCTTTACACCGATTGCTAATTCCACATGAGTATCCTGCATCGACTGTCATTACATGGAATGTGCTGCCTCAGCATCCTGGTTCTCAGAGTGGTGTTGTAGCACCTTTGTGGTTTCTATCCTGAGCTTGTCAACCTGGCTCACTAGTATTAGAGCCAATAGCATTCTTTGTGTTTTTAAAGCACCACAGTATACTGTAGATGTAATTGCACAACATTAATTTCTTAGATGTAAAACTAAAAGTTGAAAAGCAACATTAGAGAGGAGGAAATCGTTTTTTTACAAAGTACCAAGTTCTTGAGTGCCTGGTTTTCATTCTGTTGAGCTAATTATTTGAATTAGGAGGCAAATTACCTGTATAAATCAGGTAGTAATTGAAAAGGACTTTTGAAACTTGCAGTTGTCTAGTAAGTCAAGACCTTCTTTAACTATTTGCTGTCTATGGAGCTAAGTGAAAAAAGAGTTGTATTGGGTTTTTTTAAAACGTAAACAAGTTATTAACATTAAAGAGTCCAAACTTGTTGCTGTTAAACAAATGAAGAGAAAACTGTAGTTTTCCTAAAATTTTCTTGTAAGAGGGAGAAATTCCAACTGAAAACAATATAAACAACATCCAGACTGATAGAATTATGAGGAATTTTGAGAAATGTATAACTGCAGGAAAGGAAAACTGTGTTTGTTTAGGGAGGTAAGGTAGGGGCAGAATGCACAATTCAACACTGAGCGATCAAAAGCCCAGCTTACTGCTCCCACTTTGCATTACTAAATTAAAGTATTGTCTTGTGGCTGCTCAACCATTGTTTTCAAAAGCCGAGTCTCTTACTGTTCAACACCTACTCCTGCATCTTCAGTGTTGTAAGGAACATTCAGCCCACATTCACTCTCTTTGATGTGTAAGAACACCCTTGTCATTGTTTCATCAGGCTGATTTTCGTCTTTTATTTTTCTGTACATAATTTTAAAAAGCACATAATTTTAATTAAAAATCAATTTAATTAAAATAAATTATACCACATTACAAAAGTATCCAGCCCCTTTCATTCAGTACATCAGTTAAGATACAAAGGACTGTTTGAAAGGTCACACCATTAGTGTAATTGCCTTTGTGTATAATCAAAATTAACTTAAACTGACTTTTAAGAAAACTATATCTGTAAGTTCTTAGATATTGAATTTCAAACCACAATTAATATAGTGTTATGAAAGATCAACCGGGAAGACCAAGGAACTTTCAAAATTCAGGATTAAACAAAGTAACACATGATTACAAGTCATGCCTCCAAACCAAGAACCCAGAATCTAGTTAAAGATGTCATCCTGAAGCCAATGGAGACTAGTTGCATAGTTTCATGTCTGAGAGAGTCAAGAGAGTCAACTGTTCATACATAGATTGATTTTTATGCAAAGCATTGTATCTGGCTCATGTTCAACACAGGACATTTTCCAGTCAATCATCATGATTGTCAGATTGTGACAGAACCATGTTATGTTTCTCATCCACAGACTCTGTGAGGTTTGCTGGGATTGAGGGAGAAATGGATGGTGTAGTTTAGAGGAAAACCATTTTACATCACCAGATAATCTGATATTAGGATGAAAATTCACATTACAGCACGATGATGACCAGAGGCACAAGGTCACTGAAGTAATCTGAGAGGATGAGGGTGAATATCCCTGAGTGGTCAGTCAAAGTCAAGCTTGCCATTCAATAAAAAATGTCAAGGCTTGAAAATTGTAATCCATCACTGATCCCCCAACAAGCGTAATAAAACACTGAGTTTGAAATACTTCTACAATCAATACATTTGCATTCCCCTCTCACACATAAAAGTGGTTAGTTTGATCATTACAGTTTTGAAAACATTCAGACAAATGTGTATCCATAATTTGTAATTTTACAGGAATCTTGAGTTATTGGTGGAGTTAATATTTTTTTTTTCCATAAACCTCATACAGTATGTAATATGTTTTAAAGAAATTCATATGATTTACTTCCCCTTTGTCAGGATCACTTTAATTTGAGGGTATGTCAAGGCAATGTGTGGGATAGTAATCAGTTCAGCTGTTTGCCAATAGTGGTGAAAGGTGGTGATTAAACTGGCTGAAGAAAGTAATGGAAGTCTGTCTCAAGCTAACCACATCTGCTGTTACCATGAGTATTCATTTGACTGGGATTCCTAATAGTTGTTTTTTTTCCTGAGGTAAATGTTGCTAAATTATTGTTGTCATTCTGTGTTAATTCTCAGGCATCTACCTGTGTCATTTTTGTTCAAAGTAAAAGTCTACCTCTTTAGAGTGTACTGCATTGCTCAGATTTACTGTATAAGAAATTTATTTTTCTAACGCAAGATTCATATAGCTTTTCATATATTCTGTAAACTAGCTCTCAAGCTTCTGTATTTCTTAACTTAACCAATATTGTACATTTTTGCAGATTCCAGATCAAGCCTTTGGTACAACAGATGGGGATTAAAGGGGTTTTGGTACAGTATTTCATGTACTGTACAATATCTTCACAGTCATCATTTTTCTTTTATTATATGGAGTCATAGTGTTTGATGAATTTAGAACCAATTGCATGATATTTACAATTCAGTATTATCATATTTAGGGGTAACAAACCTAATGTAAAATGTATTTTTTTACTTTTATGTTTACATTTCTCTTTATTTAAGGTAAATGGTGTGAAGTAGATGTCAATGAATGTGCCTCAGATCCATGCCTGAACAGTGGAAGATGTATTGATGATGTCAATCGTTATCAGTGTTTGTGTGCCAGAGGCTTTATGGGATCAAATTGTGAAACAAACATTGATGAATGTGCATCAAACCCTTGTCTTCATGGGAGGTATGATTGCTTTTGTGCTTATATATTTCTTAGTATTTCAGGAAGCTTGATAAAATCATTTTAATTAAACTTCTCACTAGTGCAGTTAAGGATGACAGATGTTGCAATTTTGCAGTAATGTAATATATTGACAGATGATCTAAAATCTCTTTCAATTATGCTTATTACCATAAGGTAGTTTTCCATAAATTAGAACTAATTAGTCTTTAATATAGTTAGCAGTGGATCCTAAGCTATTAAATGAATGATGCAGAAAACAGAAAAAGCATCCTTAAGGTGATAATTAAAGAAAACCAAATAAAATAGAAATAAACTAGAAATGTATACTTTGATTTACTAACACCCAGTCTAGTTTGAGGTTTAAAAGTTAATTTTTTTTTGTCTTTTTTTATTTTCAGTTGCACTGATGAGATTAACAAGTATGTGTGTCATTGTGAACCTGGCTGGACCAGTGAAAGATGTGAGATTAATATTAATGTAAGTTGTTATTTTATAAGGATTATCATCATGAGGTTTCACATTTTATGTGCAGTGGTTCTTTGAAATGTGTTTAAATTGCTATTAGGCTGCAGTTTTCTTTGAACAAGTTGAAAATTCTTCAATTAGCAAGTGTTTTGTTGAAAGTATATTTAATAATTCATTATTCATGTCAATATCTACTGTATGTATACGTTTCTTAAACAAAATAACAAGATTTACAGCTGTGAAGATGTCTTTTGAATTTCATTGAAATTGCTGGTTACTGGCTTAATATTTTTGAAATTCATCATAATTATTGCTGGAGTGTCCCTATGCAGCTAGTGAATAATGTTATATTAATGTGCCCTCTGCAAGTCCCTGCTGGTTGCTTGTTTAAAGTAAATGAAACAAGTTTAATTATATATACAATAATTGGCCTTTCTTGCTACTGCATATGTCAATCAGAATTGTCCATTGCACAGTATTTATAAACATTTATTTTTTACTATTTAATACACAATGTAGAGGAGATTAAAATTGCTTCAGAAACAAGGAACTCCTAGAAATGTGAAAGGTGGATTTTCTTTAGTATAGAAGTCATTCGGAACTCCAGCTTTAGAGATTTGCACTGTATTATCACTTCTCTATGACTTATACATTTGACACCTCCTTTCACATACATCAAAACCTATCTTCACAAGAAGGGCTTAGAGGGTATTAGCATAGACACTGCACAACGATCTTTCTTTTTACAGTAACTTCAAGATGTCATTTTAAATTTTTCCTGACCTTTCAGTCCTAATTAGAACTAATATGAAATAATGCACTACAAAATCCTTGATTTTTCTGCTCTCCAAGAGGTCGGTGCAACTGTTCACCAGTTTATTATTAAATGCTTTAAATTACAGCGTAAAGTGGCATTACAAAAATACTTAATGTTTATTGACCATTATTGGAGTTTTATATAAAAATATTTGAAGCCTTTCCAGCCATGAAAATTTTTACAAAAAAGCATGAGATTGTCTTCGGACACGCTTTGGTGGCACAAATGCATACAGTATACTTAGACAGGGTAACTGTTAGTTAAAGTATTTGTGTCCTTTTTTCTGTTCCTGTTCAAGGCTACACTGAACATGTAGTCCTGATTCTTAAACAAAATATTTAAAAAGGCAAGCAGCCAACATCGCATTGACAGCTGATAAGAGCTGCTTATCAGCTGAGGAATGACCACCTCAAAGTGGATAAAAATATTTTTGTTACTTGACTGTGCACATTTAAAATGCAGCATCTTCATCAGTACTAATTAGCAAACCCTCATTGATATTTTGTCATTGATATTCAATGATCAAAAGCTGTAAGATCTTTTGTGAAACTGCTTTTCATTCCATTGTGTAAAAGAAATAGAATACACAGGTCTTTACACAGCTAAAAGGAAATCAAACAACACCTACTCTATTAATATCACACCAAAAGACTGGTACATACATCTGATACATATACAGTATCTGGCATCTGATAACAATATTAAACAGCTGAATGCCTTTGCTTGGAATATTTTTTCTAAATAAATGAATTTGAAAGTGAAGGTTTGATGTGTTTTGGAAAAAGAATTCCAATGTATATACTTCACTTTGTTAGGGGTTTTGTTCAAATAAATTTTGTTTAAACCAGAAGGGGAAAAAAAACATTCTTTTATGGTTACAAATGGAAAAAAAAATGTTACAAATTGTTGCTTTTGATGTTTGTGTTTTAAGTAGTTCATTATAAGTCTCTAATTGTCAGAATAATTGGGACCCAATTAGTTCCACTAGTTCATTAGTTTGAGCTTGATTCTCACATTTAATTGCTTTTTTTGTTCTTTATACACTCAGTGTGAAGACAGTAGTTTAAAGGATTTGATAGTGTATTAACTGATTAACTTTCCTGCCATGATTTTATTTCCAAGGAATAAAGTTAGTCTTCCAAGGGACTGAAGATATAGATTCACAATAGAAAGCAGATGTAGAAAAGCTATTAAATGCTGGGCTACTATTGTCAGTTTTAGATATATGTTTCAAAAATTGATCACCACATGCCCTGTTTTCCCTCTTAGTAATAATTTGTTCAATATTAGCATCCAGGCCACCACTCAGTAGCTATGGATTCTAAGGTAATAACCAAGTGAATCAACATATTGTGACTGGATTTGTTTTTATCGCAAGAGGTACTATAACTGTACTATGAATGGTATTTGTCTATCACAAAACATTTGTTACACATTATGTAAGAAAAGAAATAGTTGAATATAATTATGGAACCATAGACAAATGAGATATTATAAATTGGTAACTTTTGTGCAACCATGAAATGTTACACTGACATGTAATGTCATTAGTTGTCAGGCCACCCATCAGAAAGTGCCACATTATCTCAAGGGTTACAGCACTGTAATTAATGATATCAGGCACTGATATCATTGTGGATTTAAATGGCACAGTATGCAGTGAATGCAATGGCTCCTACTATAGGCTTCATTTTTTTTATTTTCTGTGTCAATGTTTTTCCTTCCTTGACTACATCTATTGTCACTATCCTGGTTTCATGAGGCCCTCAGATTACATTCACATATAACACTAGATAAAATGTCAGGCTCCGGTTATTTTACCATTTTTTATGTTTTCCAAGATTATTTTCAACACTTTAATTCCTCAATAACAAAAAAATGCAATTTTAAGAAAATCTTAATCATTATTTCAACCCAACATATTCTGTTAATGTGAAATTTTATCTATAGTTGATCTGTCACACCCTTGTGCAGGTTTAATTGGAATTATCATTTGATTCATAAAATCGAATGATTTCAATTGTTTCATACTTATGCTCAGCCATTCTTTTGCTTTAAACATTTCCTGATTTGATGCCTTTTGATACAGCAACATCTTCCTTTACTTCAGCACTGTTAGCTTGATGTCACTTAATTGAAAATATGCATATACTGTAATTCCAAGTGACAGAATAGAATGAATATACTTAGATTGAAGACCAGCTTTACAAAATGCTGTAATTAGATCTTGAAGACGTATATGTGAAGAGGCAACTGATCTGCGTGCAGGGATACACCCTACCACGCCTATCCATTCTCTGTTCCAATTTGTTTCACACTGAGCTATAGGATTACTATATTGTCATTCTCTCAGCATTTCAAATGTTGTGTGTTTCTCTGTTTTCAAGATGTAGGTGAAAGCTGGTGGGTACCACAGAGCAAAATGGCTGAGTGGGCTTCATTGGGGGTGAAGGATGGTTATTTCAGTTTTGCATTGTATTTTGCTGAGGTAAAGTTATAGTGAAAGCACTGTGTTAATAATGTATAGCAGAGGGTTACACAAAGTTATCCTCCTTTTGCACATATAGAAAGGAGGATAACTAAAAAAAAGTAACTTCAAACTATAAGATAAAACAAAATCTGTGAGGATAAATGTATATTATTTTCAAACAAATTCAAATGATTGTATTTCAGATCATATTATTATATTTAAGGGGCATCAAAGCTGATACTGCACTCCAGCACTGGGTTCAATTCCTGCCCTGATGAGCTGTCTGCGTGCCTTTGTATGTTCTCCATATGTCCTGTATGTGTTTGCGTGGGTTTTAGCTGGGTGCTCCAGTTTCCTTCTCAAGTCCAGAAACATCCCAGATGTGTCTGTGTTTGTGTCTGTGGACTGGCATCCTGTCCCGGGTGTATCCCACCTTGTGCCTGCTGTGCCTGCTGTGCCTGCTGCTTGCACAAAGTGGGTAGAAATGGGTGGATGGGTTATTTTAATTAGTGTTTTAATTAGTGCACAATATACTGCAAATGATATTAGTGATTGATCCAGGATAACTATAATTGTAATTTAACAGAATATATTCTGGACTGCCATTTCATTTAGCTATGCTGTTGAAAGTGGAAATGTTAGTCCTAATTGACTGCAGGTGCTGTTTGCAACAAAAAGTAATATTCTGTCATTGGTATTTTATTTGTTAATACAAAAGTTTATTGAAGGGATAGGGTAGTCCATACCAGAGGACAGGGACATCCTGCTTACTGGCCTGTTGAGCAGACTGAGAGCATTGGACCCCCCATCTTTCATGGAACATTGGTTAAAGCCCCCATTTATACAGCTGAGTGGTCTGAAGTAACTGGAGTAAAGTATCTCAAGATACAACTGAGTCTGCAGCAGGGACTTGAATCCACACCCTGCCAGACCCTGGCGAAGTCATGTTTCCCTATGACTTTATGCTGCCACTCTTAGATATATGGAATTATTGTCATATATTCACAATTCAAAGGTTTTGTTTTATTGTGGGGAAGATTTTATATTGCAAAGAGTAGCAGCTTCCTGTCAGTTTTTATTTGGTTTCTGTGCTGAGTTTCAAATACAGGAGAGTATAATTTTATTTTTTATGGTGTTTCTTAAAGCAAACACCCGATAGTCTTTTGTTCCACATGCCTGGAGTATTCACTGTTCAGCTTACATGCCCTCCTGCCCTTGAGAGGCCCAATGTGTCAGTTGACCAGAACTGGATCTGTTTCTTGCTATAGGCTATAGAAACACTGTATTGATCACTAGAAGAGGTGTTTGAAAGCACATTAGGGTAAATAAAGCAGGACCTTGTGTGTTAGAGAATGCTATGAGCTGGTTTTGTTTTTATCAATTGTATTGATTTTTCAGTGGCTGAATAAAAGCATCAGCAGCATTTCAAAAGAATATAAGAATTACTGATTAAAATGTGGGACAGAAAATACTGTAAACTCCAATTGATTTTTGGCATGGGTCCTTCACCTTTTTTTCTTAATAATTTTCACACTTAACCAAGGTATGAGGCATTATTCTACAAACATGACACCTCAGGTGTACTGTACTTACAGTATGTGTTCATAATCACTGTTGATTTTTAATTAGGGTAAAAAGAGGGCAGATGATTTTATTGCTGTTGTAAAATGTAATTTTGTCTAAACAAATGGATATTATTTTCACCATTGTTTGAATGTAGTAAATTGTAATCTTGTCATCTTTGATCCATTTGCACTGGTAAATGTTAAAGACCTTGTATTTACAGAAGAAATGTCATTATAATATATGGCTCTGTGAGATGCCACCCAAAGGCCCAGGAGTGCAATTAAAAAATCACCAGATATCAGCATTAATAATAAAAAAGCCAGTATTCTACAATCCTTGTTAGATAATCTGTAATTGATTTGACAAGAACTACAGACAGACCCCAGAGAAGAAACATTTGGCTTCTAAGAAGCTTTCCTGCAACTTTCTGTGGGATGAATAATTCAATTAGGCTGTGTTTTGCCTGCTAATTAATTGGTCTATAATGTATAAAGTTTAGGGTGCTTGTTTAAAAAGGAGTTTTGTGAATCTCCTGTTCACATCTTGAGAAAGATGAGAATGAGAAAGAAGGAACTATAACAGAAATTAAACAAAACAGTTGGGACAGAGGGTTGGTGTTGTCTTTTTGTGAATCAGATTAAATAGTTGCATGAAAAATAGTTAATTATTCAAACAATGGCCTTCATTACACAATTGTGACAAATCACTTACAGTGTAATTGTACAAATCACATAAGAATATTTTTACAGCTGGAGAGGGCAGATATGTTCTTCTTATTCTGAAAGTGTGAGACAATGGATAAGAGAGTTGCGTTGCATTGCGTTTACCAGGCACAGCCATGGTTACTGCGCACGGCAAACAAAATCAACACCAAGATCTTTCCATGTTGATCACTCCACCTGCGTAAACAGTGATGATGTCTCAATCTTCCCGCGCACAGCTGGAAGGGACCTCTACACGGCTGCCCACTCTCGCCAGTAGGAGTTTTCAGTGTTTTCTTTTGTGCTCTTGTTTGCTCTTATATCCATGCTTCTCTGCTCATTTTCACTCTGCTACAATGTAGGTTCACTTGGACCACTCACCCGTCCTTCACTTTTATACTTTTAACAGATATAAAAGTGTTCTGACTTTTCTTCTAGCTTTCCTCTCTTCACTGCTTTTGAGGTTTTTTCCATGGTACTGTGCCATTGTTTGTTATGGAAAATCACCTAAACTGAAAAAAGAAAGCCAGGTTATTTTAAAATTCTGATAAATAAGATTATTTTATATTTTGTACTCAATGTTAAAATGTATCTGGCAATTTAAAGCAGGGATGTTCTGGAATCCTTTTAAACTAGCAAGGGTATCCCCAATATCACCATACATTCATTTCCCCATTATAACTGAACTGTTGTAATTAGATTCCTATCAATGTTTATCTTTCCCAGCAGGCTTCTCAGCTTTTCTATTCAAGACAATATTTTGTCAAATAGGAGTTCTGAGCCTGCTAATATATAATATGTTGAAACTTCAGAAAGCAAATTCAAGATCTGACCATAAACATTAAGTTACTATGCATTATATTTTGGCTAGAACATCATTCAGTCATTTGTGAGTAAGTTTATTGCTTGAAAATCTTATTGGCTTTGGGTCATGGTAATTCAGCCTAAGTGGCCAGCACCCAGTGTATCCTGCATTTGCACCAGCAGAAATGGCTGAATCCTACCTGCAATCAGCAAGGAGAGTAACAGTTGTTTGCCAGGATAGGCTCTGGATTACTTTGTGATGCTGTATTGCACAAACTGATCAGAAAATGGATGCATAGAAATGCAGTGACATTTTTAAAAAGATGATACAGTGTTGAAAGACTAAGTTATTACACTGGCACAGCTGTTGTTTTAACAATGTGTGTAGCAAGATCAAGATCATAAATGCCTTCAGTATAATGCTAAGGAGTGATATTACTAACAACAACAAGCCAACCTTTAGTGTTGTCTAAAAAATGAAACAACATGATAACACGCTGTCCCTGGAAACAATGTCAATCCCTTACACAGACCTCACTTTCCCTTTCTTGATTTCTGCCTTATACATGTGCTTTGCTGTCACAATACTAGGTGCAGAGACAGGATGTATTGGGAAACACCACTATATGCCGATGTCTATAGTGTTGTTTTCCTAGTAAAAATAAATCTTTACACTAACTGTATATAGCACTTTTCTGGATGATTAGAGCAATGACTGAATCAGAATGTAGGCATTAGTTTGGGTGTCTGGTGACTGTAATCGGGTTACTATGTCTTTGTCTTTAATTGCCATTGGAGATCATACTCTGGTCAAAGATCCTGCCAGCATAGCATGAACATTATTTTGGTAGGTTTGACCATGGGTTCTTCCTGACTGTTGATAATTCTGTTTGAGTGTCTATGAGTGGATCGACTAGTAATGTCATGTTGAGAAATTAAAAATATCTTTCATCTCTTTTTCATGTAGTTGTAGGATTGCTGCAGTACATTTAAATCCAGCAGACCTTTACATTTATTTCATTCCAGAAAAGGGCCCAACCTGTGACAAAACGTCATACGTTTTAATCTTCTTCCAGTTTGGTTTCCAGTTTGGTTCTATTCTGAACTTTGTTGGACTACTGTTGAACCTTTCTAGAACATTCATTCTGTTCTATTAAAGTGCAAATCACCCAAACCACATACTGCAATTTTGGGATTGTTCCTGGTTATCCCAAAAAGACCTCAGTCAATTTCTGCCTAGAATGTCCCCTCAAAAATTTTGTAATATCTCTGCACATTTATACAGTAGAAGCCTGATTTGTAACTTAAATGAAAGCTTAGCAAACCAAATGTAGTCACCGGTGTCTTCAGCACACTAAAACATAAATTAATCTTAATCGTAATAAATCAGATTAATTTTTAACAATTACAACTGATTTCCGATACCCTCTAAAACAAGACGTGCAACAAACAAAAAGCCCTTTAAACGTACTGTCATCATAAACCAATAATGACATAAATCTCACACACCAAAATACAACCTCAAAATCAAAAACTGAGCAAAATATCTAAAATTAAATGTTATAGGCGACTGAAAAACAGGTAACATACTTGCTTGACCACTGGGTCATTGGAAACTGAAAGAGTTAATCTGTTTGGCTGACCTCGATGATCGTATTTGATAAAAGGGGTCTAATTGGTTTAAATTGCTGTCATTCATTATTTTCCGACCAATCAGAGTACTAGTAGACACCACTGCCTCTGTAACGGGACTTGGGGAAGAAAAGAAATCAGCCAAGATTTGTTTACCTTAGCAACCGGTTTGTTGTCATAGCAACCAGAGGTCATCTATGGTCTATTTACAGTGAAAAACACAATGAAAAATCTCTAGCACTGCCTAGAGGCTTATATAGTAATTGCAATGGCTTTTAGTATTTTTAAATATTTTTTATAAATGTTCTTAGTATGCGAACTTTAGCATTCCAGGTTCTGTCTTCACAAAACTATTAAAATTATGTAGTTTTTTTTGTCTGCAATTTTTACCCAAGCTAGTAGACACAAAGGATAAGGCTTACAAGCATTTGCAGGGCAACAACGTGAGAAACTGATCATTCAAGACAGGAGAAAAAAATCAATGTTTTGTTTTGTTTTGTTTTGTTTTCCTGGACATTTGTCAGAGTGGACAGAGTAAGACATAAGAAATCTGATGGTTTACACTTAATTCCCAAGTGGTTAAATCCAGCCGTGTTCTAGCTCTCTAACCTTCCTTGCATCTCATTTCTTTCTTCACTGGAAGAAGGGTATGCACCATACCATTTTTACACAATTGACAAGACACGGAGTGTTGTTTCTTTACCCAGAAAAAAAAAGATTTCAGTTCTCCACAGACAAATTGTATGCAACCTTAAATCTATTTTAAACATCTTTGGCAAACTGAAGTTGTCACTTGTTATTTGATTCCTCTTGAATGATTTCGTATTCAGGAACTCATTAGAGGCCAATTTCCTCCTCAATTGCTTATTACTGATAGTGAATTTCTTAAGGTCCCTCACTGGGATGATAATAAACATAATGAAGAGCTACAAATACAGTAACTGCTTATTAACGAATTCAGTTGTAATTTGACATATAGTTATGGCCAGAAATAAAATCTATACTTTCTGCTCTTCTTTTATTCCCTTTATTTATACTCTGTCCTGGTTGTATAAACAACATGCAGTTCTTTTAATGTATAGTAATTTTCCATGTTTTGTCCTGCATTCTTTGCTCAAGCACACATTTTATACTACTCATGTCTCACAGGCAGTGAAGTTCTCGGAAAGGTAGTATGAGCTTGAATGTGTTCAGTTGGTTAATTTCCTCAGATTATAACATCAAACTCAAAAAGCTTATCCAATTAGCATTTAAAATTTAAGATGAAAATAAATGTTAAGTCTAATATACAGTAATTTAGAAGAACAAATAAACAACCATTGTAAAACATAAAAGGTGCAGATCCTGAAAGTTAGTAATAGAGTTTAGTATTTTGTCTGTGTTTATGCATATTTGTTTTAATTACCATTGCCTTTCCTGAATTTAATATGTTTTGCGTGTTTTTTTTTTTTATTCTGTAGGAGTGTGATTCCAATCCCTGCTTCAATGGAGCATCCTGCGTTGATCTTGTCAACAAATATGCATGTTTCTGCCTGGACGGTTACTATGGAAAGCTCTGTGAAATAGATATGGACGTCTGCCAGGATTCCCCACAGACGTTCTCTCTCTGCTTCAATGGAGGAACATGCCTGGATGGACCTGCTGCCAATTTCACCTGCAGGTCAGTTGTCATCAGATCAGGACACAAACTTCGCCAGTGTTTTGGGCACAGCCATCATAGTTCATTAACAATTCACTTGTCATTCACCCAGTCTGTCCTCTTCGAATTACAAACTGTCACGTTATGGAAACAAGTATCTAAAACTTACATTGTTACCACAGAATTGATGTAATTTCTGTCCATGCCTGTCACGCTGTCCTCTGTGTAAAACTATAAATGCTATAAATTTAGTGGTTACTCATTCCCTCCCTTCATGACAAATTATGGGAAAGGGAGGCCATCAGTTATTAGATCAGCAGAGGACATGTGGGGAACATGGGCAGAAAATTGAGAAATGTTACAAAGTTCAAAGGATAATTTATGTGAGCGCTCATGATTTGTACTGCATTTAATACTTTTTCCAGACATTAGATTCCATGTTGATTTCAGTAGTAATGGACAGACATTTCAATGAAACAATAAGTTATTTTGGATAAAAATGTATTCTGTATTTATTAATAGTATTGAAGAATTATTCAGCATTTTCCATTTCCCATTGCTTTTAATAGATTTGGATTAAAAGTAGTAATTTCCCACACATGCAATGTTTGTTCCAATATAATGAATGGTCTATACATTGTGCATGCTTCTATGTGATTTCATTCCCATCTTACAAACCAAACAGTGAACTCAAAACATCAGATTTCACTTTATTTAAAGAAGGCTAAATGTTGAATTCAAGAGGGACACGTCTAAACTGAACCATATATCCAATAATTACACAAAAATTATTAACTTAAAATATGCAGTGTAGAATCTAACAAATATATTCTGTCTTCTTATCAGCACGTATTATGTAAAAGATGTCCAAGCATTAAATTATAAAATCATTTTGTTATAGCACTGTTTAAATAACAAATATAAAAAATGAAGTAATTATATTTCCATAATTAATTTAATTTTGTATTCATCCAGTAACCTCACATATTCAATCCCCATAATATGATGTGTGTGACTAGAATAAGATCACTGAGGTGTTTTATGATCCAATTAATATTTTACTGCTTTTACTAAAAATCATACATGTTTAAGGAAACGTAAGAGTTCTTGAGTTCTTTATCAATGCAATCTGTATTGATGTAATAATGTTTTCCAAAAGTCGGTTAAAGGATGGACTTGGTAAATATAATGATGAAGTAGGGGAGCATATGTGCTTTATAAGACTTTTGACCTGTTCAAGCCATGCATTCATGTATTATGTAATTAAACACAGCAACCTCGCCATACATATTCCTAAATTATTTTTAGTTGAAATACTGAATTGACTGCATAATATCCATCTATCCATTTCCTCACTGTTTCATCCAGCCCAAGGTCAGGGGGAGTGGGAGCTTATCTCTGCAAGCAGTGGACGTAAGGCAGGGACTCCAGTCCATCACAGCGCACACACACACAGACACAGATGTGCACACACTCACACAAGGGGGCAATTTTCCCAGAAGCCAATTAACCTTCCAGCATGTCTGTGCACTGTGGGAGGAAACTGGAGCATCCAGAGGAATATCACGCACAGGCGGGAAGAATAAAGAAGCTCCCTGCAGATCACATCCCAGGTCTGGAGCCCAGGGCCCCAGGGCTGCAGGGCAGCCATGTTGACCACTGCACTGCTCTGCTGCTCAACATACACAGCAGCACAACACATTCCAAAAAGCAACTGAAGTAAGGTATTTCAAGCCAATTATAAGAAGTCAGGAATTAGATAGAAATTCACCTTTTAAAAAACATGAGAAAACCAATTGTGATTTTTGTGGTCGAGGTTGTATAAGATATAAACTTGCAGCTCTGCATAAGCCTGCTATGGTGACTAGTTGCAGAGTTCTTAGCTCAAAACTCCTTCGAACACTTTGTATATCTTACAAAACTGTTGTGTGCTTAAAAGTTGCTAAATTGTAGAAAAGTAGCAACTGTCAAATAGCATTAATTAAATATTTATAATATAAGATTTTAGTATTGTTTAGCCCTAAAACAGTTTTTCATGTATATGAACTAAATTAATGTAAAGATACATATTAAAGTATTAACTAGTTTTCTTATCAATGGGTCTAATTAATCCAATTTAAGGCTTGCTCTCTCAGAAGGAAATAAACTGCAACGGTCCTGTATTCAATTTACATTAAATCCCAAAGCTTGCAGGTTTCTCTTACAGTTTCTCTGTGTCTTTAGGTGGCACACCTCGCTCTGGTACAGGTGACACCATACTGTTAGCAGGTTAGCATAGTGTACATTCCCTCCCGAGCTCCACCGCTGAAGCTCGTGCTTGTTTGTTCTGCCTGGTCTGCGATTCTGGGGCTGCCGACACAGAATGGCTGCTGTGTGTCACCCAGGTGGGAACTACCGTACACTTCACATGTGTAACTGCACTGTTCCTGTAGTTAATGTGCCTTGGGATTCTTCAGGATTATAAGGCACTACACAGATACAACACATTTTTAATGTACTGTACCTTCTGTCAGTATAGAGTTTGCATGCTCTTCTTCTGTTCATGTGAGTTTTCCCTGGTGGCTTTGGTTTCCTTCCGTGTCGCAAAAGTGGTTTGATTGACTGTTCTAAAGAGAAATTCCACCTTGTCTTGAATTTGACTGACATTCCCTCCATTTGGAGAGCAGTCATGTGAGTTTCACTTTGTTCCACATGCCTCCAGAATAGGCTTTGTTTTACTGCAATGCTCATGATGATAAAGCAGCTTACCCACGATGAATAGAAGGAACCTAATGGGAGTATTTCTAGTATTTTGTATACATACAGTTTAGAAATGTTGTGCTTCAGAAACTAATGTAACAATTCAGTAATGTGTGTTTTTGCATCGTTATGACATCATCATATTATATGTAATATAATATATATATAGTATATTATGTCCTTATTGTATATTATATGCTTTGATCTAAAAGCCCATCAGTGTTATTCAGTGATAAATTAAGTGTTAGTAGTTGTTTGAAATAGTAAAGCTTCCGAGAGTTAATACATGACAGATGATGAATATACGTTTTAATTACTTTACTTTAGTCCAGGAAAAAGGTGAAGACCACATGGCAATGACTGATTGTGCTTTTTAATTTTAGACCATGAAAGTTAAATTATAACGACAATCGAGACAGAAAATATAGGAGAAAATCTGAGCTGATAAGACCTAAACGGTGATCAGCAGTTTCTGTTAGATAATGATTTAAGAACAAAAGAAATAAATGGTTTGTTAGTGTAACACATGGCTTCAGGCCGTTCTTGAGCTGGCTGTTCCTAGAAGACTGCCATCTGCTGATAACCTTTGTGCGCTACAGCTAATAAAGAGGAGCCAGGTGGCCTTGAGGCAGTGACATACAGTAACATGACACTGTAGTTAGTCAAATACAACCATGATGGTTGTATACTGTACTGTATATACTGTAGTTTCATGAAAGAAAACATCATTTTGCTACTTGTTTTCCTGTTTGTGTATGTTTTCTTAGAAGTGTCTACAACAGAGCACAGACATTTAAATACTCAATTTAAGTTAAATGCAAACATAGTGTGAGATCTTTCATTTTCCCGCATTTAAAGTAAACACATGCACGGTTTTGGTTATACTTTATAGTGAAGTGTTTTAATCTTTCTATACTATTCTGTTGTGTTCCACATCTGCTACTTCCTTTAGTTTTTGATGTCTTACTTGTATGAAAATAACTACTTTCCTCATTTTTCTTCACTAAGTGTGCTCTGGGTAATAAATACAGCATACTGGCATTATCAGACTGAGCTTTATTCACAAATTCGAATGATAGGAGATTATATTGTTAAGGAGGATTATGACTTGTGATGCTTGTAAACACCTGAGATTGTGATTCTGACTGAAATGTGAATTCACAGCATTAGATTCGCATTCCACATATTTTGTAAAAAAATATCTGGTTGTAGCACTTTTAACTCTAAATTAACATATTGTTTAGTATATCAGCCTTTCTGCCAGCATGTTTTAATAATCCTAAAGGTTAAGGAATGAACTATTTGACTGAGTCTGCATATTTGTCTGATAACATTGTTGATGTCTGGTAGATAGTACAGTTCCTTTAATTAGAATTTTCTTTTTATGATGAGAATAAAGAACATTATTGCTGGCTAAAAAATATTCTATTTGCAGGAAAGAAACCTTAAAAATATCAAGTAGCCTTGTGGTTTCTATACACTTAAAAACAATTGCTCTTTAATTTTTGTTGTGGGGGGGGGGGGGGGGAGTGTACTCTATATTATGAGCCAGTGGCATGTCAGCCCACAACATCTTGTTAATAATCTATAACGACTCCAGCTGCTGTCTGTGTGAAGTTTGTATGCTCTCCCCATGTTCACGTGAGTTTCTCCAGTTTCCCCTCAGTGTACAGAAACATGCTGGTGGGTCAATGGGCTTCTGGGAAATGTGGCCCTGGAGTGTGTGTGTGTGTGTCTCTCCTTGAGTCTTGCAGTGGTTTGACATCCCATGCAGGCTGTACCAGGGTGTGCCCGTTGCTTGCCAGGTTAGGCTCAGGCATCAACCACAATCCTGTATTGTATCAAGTGGTTGGAAAATAGATGGATAGACTCCTGTGCAACATGCAGTACTGAGGATCTGACACTCTAGATCTCATGCTGTTAATTACATTGAGTTGGTTCACAAGATTGAAGACAAGATATATTGCATATGAAAACACTTCAAATATGTTTTTAATAATAATACTGTCTCTGCTACCCTGCAGTACTATTTTCAACAAACCATGCTTATGATAGGGCCTTTGTTTCCTCCCCTCTGACGAGTCAGGAAGAAGAATCCATTCACATTCTGCTACATTCATGAACAATCTAGGACATAAACTAGAGGGTTTAAAACGTTACAAATAGGGGGTTACAAAAATGGTGAATATCTGAGTGGATTAATCAATATGTCAATTAAATAATCATAACGCCCAAATTGGTTATAAAAATAAATATTTTTGCCAAGATTGTACCAGAGCAGTTGGTATACAGTACTTAGGGGAATGTGAGGTCTTTGGCACAGCTTTGGTGAAAAGAATCATAATTCATAATTCAAATATTTATTAATGATGACAAATGAACAACATCCAACAAACACATAGAAAACACAAGTTATACTACTGTACGTACAAACTTACAAGCAAAATGACCCAGAGTCCTACATCCTGACCACCCAGAAAACCTCCAGACCTCTGGAGTATAATGCCTACAGAGGCCAAAAGAAGAGATAAGATGCCTTCTTATTGAACACAATATGACCAACAGATAAATATTCTCTCTCTGAAAACCTGGATGCTTTAAAATGACTGGGAACCTACCTCCCTATACTAAAAATGCATCCACTAACCAGGAAAGGCTGTTTTTAACTGAGGATTCTTCATACAGGAAATCAGAGTTTCCTAAAAACAACAGAATAGCAGGCTCTCTTAACAGGGTTCAAATACTGTATCTGAATCTGGTCTTCATGGATGACCTGGACAAAGGCCTCTATCTTTCTGTCTCCCTCTCGTCTCAGTCTTTCTGATTCTTCCCCATACCCTTTCTATTCCTTTCTTCTCCAGCTCTTCTAAGCTGTCTGTTTTAGGTTGTGTTCCTGGACCTGGTTATCCTTGCCAGGTGTTAAACATTGTATCTGGATTCTTAAAACAGTTCAATAGTCACTTACTATCTACTGTATTACCAAAACATTATATTTCAGATATTCATATCTCTTATAACTAAAGTGTTTTTTTTTATTTTCCTAAAGTTGCTTTCTAACATTTTACTTGTAAAGATAATGAAGACAATGTTTAATAAGGAGCCAGTTTTCTCTGTGGGTATTTAGCTTTTGTTTTCATAGGATGTGCTTAACTGCATTACATCTGCAACACTAATGAGACTTTCATTTATGGAAGACTAATGGACAAGACTAACCATCAAGCAGGTCAAAAACATTAATGTAGCACAAAGGCAGAAAACGATAGACTGGACTACTGAGAAGATCAGCTCATCAGTGACTTTATGAATAGGTTTATTTTAATGAAAGTAGAAAATGTATTATGTAAGCGATGTGTTTATACTTTTTAAAAAATGGAAAAAATTCCGAATTATTATTGTCTTATTAGAGTAAAAAAATATATATCAGTATTTTTAATTGTGTGACTTAGTTTTTTAATTAACACAATTCTGGGATTAATCTCATGGAAATTATTTTTAATAGTAGTTAAGGATATTGTTCTTAAAACTGTAATTTGGTGTTTTTATTCTAGATCTACAAGTATTTAATTTGTATTGTAGGATACAGTGTAATTTCTTTAATCATGTTTTTGCTTTATGTGACATAGTCAAGCATGACTGATTGATTCTGTATGGGGTTTTCAAGCCTCATCAAAACTTTAATAGTCATTATAAATTCTTAGTGCAATGGAAGAAGCAAATTGCAGATGCATTTTATCTTAACCTATAAACATTGGGGTATGATTACTATTACTGTTCATTTTATGAGAATGATTTTGATATGGGTTTATTATCTTTTTTATTAGTAACCCCTATTGAAAACAGTCTACTGACATCTGTGATATTACACCTTTCATCAGTAGGAGACATGTCTGTGTGTTACATTTCATAGATAATTTACACCCTCTTCATCGATTGTGAAGGTGAAGACATAAAGAATGACTCTCAGGAGTAGGGGCTAGGAGGTGTCAGAGATCTCTGTCTGTTTATTCCTTTACTATATTTTAATATTAATTGTTCATGAAATTGCTTTCACTTTACTCTGAAATGTTTGCTAGATCATTGGTGTTCAGGCTGCTACCTGTAACTTTACAACATGATGTGGTGGTGGGGAGATGGGGTAACGTAGTCTAACTTTAAAGTTTCTGTCTGCTAAGCAACCATCTGATGGAGATCAGACATAGCAAACAGCTTTAAGTGCCTTTTTACCAGTGCTTCACCATAAGGTTTGCAATCATGCCTGTCAGACTTTTCCATTCTTTTGACATCCTGTGACCAGTCTCTAGGACCAATCTAAGAACTCAACAGTCGTTAAAACAATTTCATAAGATAGGCACCCACATTCAACCTCTGACTGCTAACTGCTGTCATAATTCTCCATGCACAGATATCATACCTTGCATCCCATCATGCAGTTGGCTAAATTGGCATTGTCGTATGGGGCTTATAAAATTCCAAGGTTCTTGATGAAGCGGCTTGGCAAAGTGCATATTTCATCTGCGTGCTGTGCTTCAGTGTGCTTTGACCTAAAAAAAACAAACTTCAGAATTGCTTTTTTGAACACTTCTATACATCCGGTTTCAAAAGAGTTGCTCAACACTAGTTATGCAACTGGTTTCATGTGCAGCCTCTGGCACAGTTCTGCAGTCTGTAATAAGATTTGCCATCAATGAATTATTCAGTTCACTCAGTAATCGGGGAATATGGAATTTCAAGGGGATGCAAGCAAAAATCCTGTTCCTATTCTTAGTACTACAATTGAAAACATATCAATATGCATTGTTAAGAAAATCAGTTATAGTAATATTTGTAATTTGTGTCAAAGAGCTTTTTTTAAGCAAATTATGTAACAATATGGAGAATGTTTCTTACATTTTTTTAAGATGATGCTCATTTTTGTTCAGGAGCAGCTTTCAGCAGGTGAAACATTAATTTTTAGCAATTTAATTTCAATTACTTATATCCTCCCCACTATGAGCTCTTTCCTTTCAACAAATGTTTTCCAACAAAGTAAATTTATAGGTTAGAAAATGGTACAAATGACAATGACACATTGTTATTGTTAGTGTTTGTTTGCAACAAAGTCACACATTGTTAGTCTGAAGCATGTTATACATTTGTAAAACATTGTAAAACTTGACCTACTGTATTGATAATTAATTGATAATTAATTCCTATATCACTTCTTCATTTTCCCTTCCTAGTTAGTACTATATGATGTAACTCTACACCTATTTTCAAATTGAATTAAAATCAGAATATTCAGCACTCTGACAACTCAATGCTTATATGCCTCCCAATTAGAGGACAACAAATACAGTAACTTTAAAAATACTACTGTGCATTGTGAATTTGATACCAATGAATTGCACCATTATGCATACCACTACATCTTCCTCATTGGGCTTCTAATGGCCTGGAGAAATGAAACCTTCTTATTAAATTAGCTCAGTGGTAAGATAAGAGATATTCCTGCCCTGCTGTGTTATGTTTTGTGTATTATGCTTCACTGAATTGCTTTGAATGCATTTCTATAACCATGTCTAACTCATAACTGTATATACATACAGTATATTACTATATGGTTGGCTGATTAAGAGCCATAATGGTGTTTTCTATGAGTCTATACAGTACCATGCAGACTGCACATCAGCAGCAAATGAACTATTGGGGTGCTGCCACAAATATTTCTATTAAACATAAGCAAGAAATTGTTGTTTCAGAAATGGCTGTTCTTACAAACTGTAACATCATCTCAGCAGTAACGTCTCCCAAAACCTTTTGCAACAGTAATGACTTTAGTTGGATCACCAGCTTGTATTAATCTCTTTTTTACAAGGAGAATGATGTTAGCCTGGCATGGTGTTCAGTTCAAAATGAAGAACCTGGTTTGTTTTGAAATAAGCCATTTCAGCCTTTGTTCTCCCTGCTGCTGTTTGCTCCACTACGAGGAAACTTCCACTCTTGTTCATTTGGCAGGTGGTTTACTGAACCTCCTGTATCACCAGATGTTACAATGTTGCAAGTACTATGTGCTCATCTCATCATTCTCATACTTATCCTGATGAAATTATCACAATTTGCCATGCCCAAGACATAAGCAGGGCTTATGCACATGTGAGACACCCTGGTGCAGGGTGTCATAAAACTAGAACTTTGATAGGTGATTCCAGGTAAAACAGAATCTTTTCATAAACACTCTCAATAACTCCCAGTTCCACAGTTCCTTGACAGTCAGTGCTTGGTGCATCTTGCTTAACAAAATATTTACCCTCTGATCTCAGATGGTGCCTGATAATTTAAAGCCTCAGCTTCCTGCATTTGAAATTGTCATCTGACAAATTGCCTTACGCCAACTGGTTGAGGGACAGAGAGTAGCAGCTAATTCCCCACAGCATTCCAGGGAATGTGATCCTGACAATAATCTCTATTTTGTCTGGACTCCCTACCCTCCTACATCACATTATTACTAGAACAACATCCTACACAGCAATTAGCTGAGGAGTGCCAAAAATAAGTAATCTTTATGAATGACTTCCTTTATCTAATTGCTTATTTTGTTTGTATTATTTTAATTATATGGTGTTGTTTTCTTCACCACAGATGTCCTTCAGGATTTTTGGGAGACTTTTGTGAGGTTGAGATTAATGAATGCTTCTCAGCACCATGTCTCCATGGAGCTATCTGCCAAGACCTTGTGGATGGGTATCTCTGCCACTGTAGACCAGGTAAGACATGCTAAAGTAGTTTGTTACACGAAAATATAGCTTTAAAGCTATGCTTTAAAATACATGTCAAAACCACAACAAAAGTCCAAATTTAAAAAACCCAGCTGTTGCAGAGTGCTCTAACAACATTTCTTCTTCTTCCAGTACCCTTTTCATGTATAATACAGTTAGCTGAAATGAAGATAACGCAGGGACTGTCTCCAGTCTACTGCATTGACACTGCCTCAGCCTAATGATCTCTCCACGTCTCTTAAAAACGTGACAAAGGAATACTGTATTATTATATTGGGCTTTACCAAACATTTTTGTGTTTCTTCATGATATTTCAGTTTTTTTACTATGCTTTACCGGCCATACCATAGTAAACTTTAATAAAGGTGTGGTTCTGCTAGCATGGCATCTCTCCCTTCCTCTGACCTGTGTGAGATGTCACCCCAAGGTGCCAAGTTAAGATCTCTGATCCACACCAGCCTGTGCTTCTCCTGTGTGTGCATCCGTGTGTACATGGCCATCCAGCGGCTATATAGGAAAGTGGTTAATCCATGGTTCCCAGGTTACTTTTATTTAAGTAAGTCTCTTACTGTTTCCTCTAGAAGTGTATATTTTGTCAATACACTAAATTAAACAGAGAGCCATTAGGATTTCTAATCTGATGTTTAAAAATAAGGTTTCATACAATATTTTACAATGTTGTACAAATGAAATAAATCTAAAAACTTGTTTTAGGCACTGCATTAAATTGTTTTCCTCAGTGCATTTCTGTCATGCAGTCCCAGTAAGATGATTCTTTTCTGTCAAAATCACTTTCTCTGAGCATGTGAAGAGGTATTGCATACAGTATGTACCTGTATGTGTCATTCAAACCTGTCAAAAGGCATCTTCAATTTGAAACTCAGTACAAAATATACAAGTATATTTTTATACAAGAAAAGAACAAAACTGGCCCTGGTTTCATTAAAAAGCCATCTCCATCTTTTTTCTTTCATCTTTCTCTAAATCTCACTTCAGCAGAACTGAAAACATCATTCTCTTCTGATCAATTTTAATGTGCCTGCTTCTTTTTTCTGTGAAAAACTAAATAAATGCTAAAGAATTCAGTTCCTATTGACTTGAGAGGAGCCGGGCTTGTTCACTGCAGTGCTTTGTGTGCTTTGTTCCCGGCAGGTTGGACAGGCCGTCACTGTGAGAATGACATTAATGAGTGCCAGTCAGGGCCGTGTGACCAGGGGATGTGTATCCAGAAGCAGCCTGGTCATGGCTACACCTGCTTTTGTCGTCCTGGATTTGTGGTGAGATGTGTTTTATTTTTTTCATACCAGCTCTGTGATTAAGCAAATGCTGAAAACAGTATGTTACTTTTCAGCTTTTGTTTTGTTTTTTTCTCTTGCTTTTTATCTTGCAAATCACAAAGCTCCCAGATGGGAAGGACTCTACTGCCTCAGTACCTTCCTTAGCAGTCCTGTAACAGCTGGATCCTTCCAGATAATTGTTCAGGCCTCTGCACCTCAAGCTAATTTGTACCCTGATTGAGATGACTTGGGAGATGCAAACCGTACTTGAATCTTAATGCCTTCAGAAACAGAAAATGTATTCCACTGGCGACAGTACTCTTGAAAATACTGATTTACCATTGTTTTTTTTTTCTTTAGGCTTCATAAAGATTCAACATATTTTATAAACTCTTTCAATACAGTGCCAAAATAAATTGGAAGTGAAATTAGGAGATATACGCATATAAATATGTTGTTATTTTTTTCATTATTAATATGTTGATATGTTGATTTTTACTCTTAGGAATGCAAGAAAGACAAATATTTACCGTACATCTATACTTTTTTAATAGGGAAAGAACTGTGAACATAACTACAATGACTGTCTGATCCAGTCCTGCCCAGATGAGTATTATTGTGTGGATGGAATTAACAATGTCACCTGCATTCCCGCTATTACATCCACTCATAACGTGACTGGAATCACTCAGACAACCGATTGGAGCCCCCTTATCAATCCCACACCAGTGCTGCTGTCCTCAGCTCACTTAGAAGCAAGCTTACACGGTGCATACCAAACAGAAGGTAAGATAAAAGACTTATCAAATGCACATTAATTAAACAATAAAGTTATTTTTTTCCTTGAGCATCACCAGTAGAAAGTGAGAAACTATAGAATACTTTCATGATTATATTTAATACATAGTGTTTAACTATGGTTAAAACCCCTATGATACCAGCCATACATTCCATATCTTCAGGATCTAACACTGCAGGGCAGGTCCCAACCTCAAGAAGGGACTTTTTTTTCCTTAGGCCATCCTTGAAATAGTCAATTTAAACCCTTCTTTACATGAAATATTTAATACAGGCCAATTCAAAAAGGTTTTGGGCAGCAACTAATTTAATGTTAAGAAATCCATTAATCTAGATTTTTCTCTTTTAAAGGGAAAAGGAGAAATATAAAAGCTTTTTCCTGTACATGAGCAAATGAGCAGATTTCAGATAGCTATGCTTCTATTCTTCTGTTTCCATTGGTGAAAGTTAATTTTCTATTCCACAATTCAACCACCCACCGATTTCTTATTTTAAAACAAAAGTATTTCTTCTTAGAGGTATGATTTCCTTTTAAATCCTTTGTGTGCATTTCAAATTACTTTATTTTAGCCAAAATGTGGATTCTATTCTCATCTAAACCCAATTTATCTACTTTGTTTAATTTCTTTATCATGCTGTTTTTTTTTGCTGTTCCACACTTTGGAGCTCTTTGATTCAAGTGCCCTCACCTATCTTTTTGAAAAATATCAGTACTGCCTTTGTCTGTCCAAATAACAAAGCTGCAGCATTTAGTCACTCAATATTAACCCTGACCACTTCATTGGACAGGCCTCACATCAGTCTCCACTTAGTCCCAGTGACACATTTAGCCAATGTCCGCCTGGAATTTCCACCCCTTAAACATTTTGTTATATCTCTGCAGCAGAACATAGCAGGAGCCTTGTTCAGGTCTTACATTGAAGCTAACTCCCTTCGCTTTGAGTGTTAACAGTCAAATTTCTGATATTTCTTAATGGGTCCACTCAGCAGACAAACATATGAAAAAAAAAACAGCAAGCGGAAATGTTTTTTTGGTCGTCAGAGGTCAGATTTTTCAACTATATGCCTGTAAAAATGATTTGAAAACCTTGTTCTAGGTGACTACTAGCTTGGATAAAAACTGGGACAAATTGATCAATTAGAACAAATTCTACATCATGTTTTGTGAAGACTAGACCTGGAATTAAATTTAACGCCTATAATAAAAGATCATAAAAATATTGAAAATAATAAGAATAAAAACCATTGCAATTGCTATAAAAACCTTTAGACACTGCTAGAGAGCCTTTATGTTCTGTTGTGCAATGAAAAAAAACCTCAGAGTTGCCTTCTGGTGTGAAAAAAAGGAGCACCGATAAAAAACTGATTGATTACCCCTTCTGAGACAATGATTGACAGCTAAAAGGCAGGCGGAACACAGCCTGAGGCTTCTAGAGGAAGTCTTACCCCTTAAGGGCTCTGAATGGCTGAAAATACAATGAATGACAGCGCTTTTTACCAATCAGATTGCCTTATTTCTCGCGACCCTGCTTCAAACATTTACTACTATTTACAACACAGACAATAAGGTCAATAGCCTCCAGGTCTGGAGATAAGCTAGTCTGAGCTATAGTGGATATACTTTATATCATGCTTCAGAATAAGGTAAAAACATGGGATATATAAATATATATTGCTGTTTTTTGCTTTTGCGGGCTTGTTTTTCTGGCTTATTGATTGCTTTATCGATGCATATTGGAAGTTTGGAAGTGCATCATAAGATAAAAAGTGACTTTGTGATCGATTGTCTTGGGTTTTTTAAAAAAAACAACATTTTTTTTAAAGCTCCGGTTCTCCTTTTTTGAATGATAACATGGTTTTGTGGTTTCGTTGGTAAAAATGTATGATATTGACATGCTGTGCTGGCCGGGTGTTTTTACTGGGGGTTGTGCTAGTTCATTAATTTATTGGTTTATTGCACAATAGTGTCACAGCTGTGGAAACAAACATCATGGTTTTATTGTGATGATATTGGAGAATACTTGCATGTGAAAATATTTGTGGAGTGGTTTGAAAAAAAGTTGTTTATCTTGCGTTAACATTAAGTGGAGGCTGGGGAGACCGGCGTGGTCGTCGGCGACCACGATCCGGAATAAAAGGTTAAAACATTCCAGTCAACATTGTTACCTAGAAATATTGTTTTGTCTAATTTTGACTCAAAATGTAAGTTTCCTGTAGAGTTTCAGTCCTTTTCAAATTATACTATGTTTATAAGATTTAAAAAGGCCAGTTAAATATAAATATAACATCTAATAAATTTGAAAACATAAAACTTAAACTTCTGAAATAAAAACAACATCAGAACATAAGAAATATTACAAGCATGTTGAGGTAATTCAGCCCATCTAGTTTGTTTGGTTGCTAAATAGCTAATTGATCTGAGAGTCTCACCCAGGTGTTTCTTGAAATAAGTCATTGTATCAGCAGTTTTTCATTTCTGTACAAGCTTTGTGCACTAGTGCTTCCTGATCTTAGTTTTTAATTAACTTTCCTATAAATTGTTTAGTTACATGCTGTGGTTGGTGTTTCACTATTGATTCAGAAAACAATGCATTGGGTTGACTGTCAGTGACCTTGAAGATTTTGAATTTCAAGGCAGAAAATATTCAGTTACTTTAGTCTTTCAGAGCAGTACTGTATATTCATTTTCAACTCTGGATGTACTGTATCTGGTTGCTCTTCTCTGAAGTAGTTCCAAAGCAATGTTGTGATGAGTTTGTACACAGTATTCTGAATGTGGTCCTACTAGTGTATTTTATAATTGTAACATTACAGTACATCCATTACATCTCTTGTTTTAAATTATTTTAATGCTTACAGTAGATGTATTAGTATGCAGTTTGCCTTTTTTGCTTCACCATGTGGTTGTCAGTAATACTCCAGTAATTATATCACCTACATTTAAGTACTCACTACATATCTGTAAGAATTTATTTAAAGTAATTTTATGAAAAAAACTTTGTAATTACTTGGATTGTGGGATTCGCCATTTCATTAATCTAATGGTAGTCTTTTAAACCCAGCTCCGGTGCATTCACATATAGAACTGGATTTTATAGTAGTTTTTACGTAGACATAGTTTTTTATATTTTTACAGTTTTTAAAGATATAGTTTAATTGTCTTCCAATATGCTACATGTGGCTCACATCACAGATCACAAACTTGAGGACCGTTTGTTTGATATTGATATGGTATATATTGGGAACCCAGGAGAATCAACACATTTCTGTGCTAGCAGAATGTCAATCACTCAGTTTATGCTGTGATTTTTTTTAAGTAGGTCACCTATTTCCAATCTAAAGCTATATTCGGTGTCCAGTTTACAGGAGAAGCTAAATGCTACTCAAAAGAGAGTCTGTAATTAATAATACCAGATCGCAAAATTAGATGTCTTCCTTGTAGAAGCTAAAATATATATATATACTGTATCTATAAATTACAGCTCTTAAGAGTTTGGGTTACATACCTGTCTTAGATAGAAACTACAAATAGACTGCCTATTAATGCACAGGCTTGTGCAATTTCGGTCCTAATTTACAAGGTGATTATGCCATTAATAAAGCAATTATTACACTAATGCTAATGTATAGACAAAAAACACTGCTGATATTTTAACACTTCAGAGAAATATAAACCAAAGCTAGAAAAAGACACAAGCTCGTGTGATCAATGGCTTAGATTTGATTGTCATGTCTCAGGCATTTCTCTACCGTAATCTAGACAGCAGAAAGGAAGGTAAGTCTACTTTACCAGCAGATGAGACAGTTGACACAGGGCAACGTCATTGCATCCTGAGGACTGACATCATGATTTCATGATGTCAGTCCTCATATATCAAAGTGTCATACCTGTTACACATAGTATAGTATATAACACACATAGTACACGTAGTAATCTATATAATGTGATTATCTGATCTGGGATGAGGTCCGTTAGTATGCAAGACATGTTATACACATTTTACAAGAAATGCACAATCAACAATCAGATAATTATTTAGGGTACCATTTTTAAACTTTGTATACATCTCCACCCCATTATTCTATTAAAAAATATTTTAAGCACACATCATTACAGAAATTACTAAATGTGCGAACAGTCCATTATTGTCTGGAGTGACTATCAGTTGTCAGTCACTCCATAATCTCTACAGATACTTTAGATGCAGCTTATAACACAAAAAACGTTGAAGACATTGTACCAGCAACATTGAAATATATGTTGTCAGTGCTAATGTCACAGAGTGAAAAAGAATGGCTGTGTGGCTGAGGGCACCAGATGTTGAAGGTTGTATGGATGTGAATTACCTTGATGGTCCAGTGACACCTTAGTGATGATTACCTGTGTGGGCTTCTGAACAAGTTTGACTGGACCAGTGATTGAAGTGCATCTTTACACTTGGTCATATTCAGACAGCCAGTTTCTGAGGGAGCCCTGGGCAGTTTAACCCACACAGAGCTTTCCCCCTGGGGAAGGAGTTAGAAGACAGGGTTAAGAAGGCCTAAAAGGCCTCAGTGAGCACTAAACTGGGACCTTTGGAAGGAGGAAGATTAGTGGGATAGATTGTGGCAGTTGGACCCAGGAGAGGACTCAGACACCGGGGACTGGGAGCAGTGAAGGAAGATCCCAGCATAGTCTTTCTCCCCTCTCTACACCAAACTGGACTTGGTGACAAACAGGGCAGAGGGGGAGACAGCAGAGACACATTGTCAGGGATGGCCAGGACTAGAGATGATACGTTAGGAACTTCACAGAGGACAAAATCACAGGACTGCATTATTTTGGGATATTTGTTAGATAACTGGTGTTCAGTGGTGTTCAATTGGCTCTTCTGGTTAGTCTGGAAGGGTTGTCCTTTAGAGTTGTTTTTATTATAATGAACTCTGTTTGAGTGGACTAGAAAATAAAATGGCTGTACAGTAGGCTCAGCCATACTGTCTGTGTGTCT